GCCGGTCTCGGGAAGCGACGCATGAGAGAGTCTTATGGCATCCGTCTCCGAGGACGCGAAGCGAGAGCATAGACTAGACAGTGTGTGCTCGTTGGCGATTCCGGCCCACTCGGACTGTCGATGGCGGTCTTCCTCCGGTGGTGCAGCACCATAGCGTGTGGCGAAGGCCTCCACAGCAGAATCCATAAGATGAATATTCTTGGAGGCGTCCCCCAGAATATCCCGGACCTCGGGCAGTGCCGCATGACACGACGCAGCGAACGCCAATGTTGCAACTGCGGTGGGCATAGGAATACCCATACCGCCGGTTGAAGTCGGGAGGCTGAGCTGAGTGAGGGCATCCCCAGTAAGGGAAGTTTTAAGGATGGCCTCAAACGCCGCTGCGAATTGATCGTCAATACGCGCAAGTTCCTCGTGAACTGAAAAGGCTGGGCTGGCCCGCAGCAGGTAGTTCAGCCTAGGAACTCCAGCCGCCCGCTGCAGAATGTACGCAGCCACGTGGCTGCCCACAAATGCGAGCCTGCGAAAAATGAGATCATACGCTTCTGCCTTCTTCTGCAGCGCCGGCGGTACGCCTGCCACGAAGACCGGGGCACCCAGTAGCTCCAGCTTCGACTGCTCAGTTATGAGCCGACATCCCGGAAGGGACTCCAAGACGCGGCTATGCATGCGAGCTGTGACTTCAGACGGGAAGCCCTGGACGAAGACTTCACATTTGGTAGGCTGAATATCGAGTCCATGGGAGCCGTAGCTGTCCCTTATGCGCTGCACATCTTCGAGAATGACCTGGGGATCTTTGCTGAGGAGAGTGAAGTCATCCAGGTAGCCTAAGACAACCTCACTACGGAGGGATTCCAGAGTCGGGTGAACCACCAACGAGAAAATGAGACTCGAGAACACGTCACCTTGCTGAATACCAGTGCGCGACTGGATCAAGGTGTCGCCAAACGATATCGGAGTTGGTTGCCGGTAGGCCTGCGAGACCATAGGATAGATCTCGGGGAACTTCTGGTGGACCGCTCTCAGCATCGTATCCCGTCGGTGGCTGTTGAATGCATTCTTGAAGTCAATCTTCAAGGCCATTGCGCTACCGTTTTCCGCCAAATAGGTGCGCGTCGAGTGGACTGCGATCTCTGCCCCTCCAGCGGTCGCAAAACCCAGCTGGCGAGGGCGTAGGTAAGCAGCGGCCCCTCCCCTGACTCTCGACAGAAGAATCTTGGCCGTGAGTCGTCTGAGGGTGCTGCCCACTGCAATGGGCCGCAGGCCACCGGTAGGCTTCGAAGCTGCCACGAGCCACGTTCCATAGACCATGTCCCGTGCATCATCCGGAACTCGTCCGCGCGCGATAAGGTCGCACACCCTGGCCAGATTCTCAAGAAGGAGGCGGCGAAGCTCTCCACCCACAGATACAAGGTCCAGAAGATGCTGTGCCGTGAGGCCGTCGAGGCCGCCAGAGCTGCCGCGGGGGAAGCTTCTGAGCGCATCTACAACCTCATCCAGAGAGCATTGCCGTGGCGGCCGGACTCCCGGCAGCTCCGGGGGTACGTCGTCGGGATGAGGAGCCGGGTGTTTGCGTATCATTTCCTGAGCGACATCATCTCGATTAGAAGACACGAGGGTCTCACGTGAAGCAAGGAGCCGGATCGCTCCCCTAAGATCGCCTCTCGAAGCTAAACGAAACTCTGCAATTCTGGCTCTATTGGCGTCCGACAGGTCTTGTCTACCCTTGGCAGCCTTGGCAGGGAGAGCCAATGGTCTGTCATAGGCCAAAATATTGTCATTCACACATTTGGTAAGGGGCTTGACACCGACTGCGGTCGCGACGTGAAGGACTCGGTAAGCGAATTCCAGGAGGGCGCACCAAGAGGATCCGTCATTATTGATGGCAACGTCTCCGGTAAGGTGGATGAGTTTGCGAGCCGCTTGGACGCGAGCGCCCTGAGGGATTCTGGGGAGAACTCGTAAGTGTTGCTTGAGGGATGCGAGACTCGGTGTAGAGCGCTCGCGGATCAGAGCATCTGCAGGAGTAGAAGCTCCAGCGGAAGGGCTCTCTTGTGGGATAGATAGATAGATAGATAGATAGATAGATAGATAGATAGATAGATAGATAGATAGATAGATAGATAGATAGATAGATAGATAGATAGATAGATAGATAGATAGATAGATAGATAGATAGATAGATAGATAGATAGATAGATAGAAGATTGACTTAAGGCTGTTCTTTCGCATCGAGAGGTTCGATGATATCCCGCTCTGGGAGACCGGTGCGGCGGGGCTTTCGCTTATGGCATGGAATCTGATTCATGACTCAGACGTGTTTCTGCGCAATTCATTCCAACCAATAGATCAGCCTTCCACGGAAAATCCAAAGAAAACTTTCTTACCATGGAGTTTAACGTCATTCAATGGATGATCATGTTTCCCTCGGATTTCATCCTCTCGGGCACCGGCGCGGCATCGGGTTCGGGATTTTTTCTCTCCTCGCTTCTCGTCTTGAGACCCGGAAGCCCATACCGCCATGAATTTCGTTCATGTTCGTCGGTAATGATGATGGGAGCCGGCAGCCTCCCATAGTCGGGATCGTTCGAGGGTAGAGGTTCAGGAAGCCAAGTCGCGAAGATTGCAGAAGTACTCGGCCGGTTCCTTCGTATGCGTATCTATTATGCCCGCGGTACGACGATGCCTCTGGTATTATAAGTACAGAGTTCCTTTGTCTCTATCGATAGATGTTCCATGTCGCAGCCTTGGTCTTCTGAGCTCAGCAGGACTCGATCAGAGCCTCAGAGTTCGTTGTGGTGGCAGGCAGAGCAACTTTCGCATCTGAGATAACTTGGAGCTTGACCGGATAACCCGGCCTCCAGTCACTAGGACGAGACAGGTGCTGTTGGTCTCTGGAGTCTATAAATTGCGGACTATGCCAAGTCGCGATTGGGGAAGCGACGATCTGTAACGAAAGACTCTCGATACCAGTCAAGTTCGAGTTACTCCCTGGGAAAATATCAGATTCCTGCTCGACCAATATTTGGTCCTTGTATTTCTCGCGGTTTCCGACTTCTCGGAGAATCCCAGGTCGAGAGTTGGCGCTGTTGCGCCCCTGTGAAGTTTGTGGGAGAGCTCATCCGACGATCCGAGGAGCTCTACGCTCGAGACACATGGTCGTAAGTTAGCCACCGTCAGCATCGCCAAAACTTCATATTGGCGAAGGTATCATCAGTCCGAAGTTATAAGCGTACGACTGCACGTGAAGCCTCGATCGTATGATCATCGTACTCCCGTAGGTTTTCTTGGCATAAGCAGCTTGTCGACGTATGTATATGTGGGTCCGAACCCGTGTGAGTTGAGGGAGTTCTCGCGAGCGGAAACGTCGCATTCCGACTGCAGCAAGCTTCCGTAGTCGAAGCTCCTCTATACCTCTGAAGGACTGACCAAGCCAAACACCGTGAGTCACAATGGATCGAGTGGAGGCTGGCCGCGCATCTCCCACAGTTTTCATTGACGGTCGAGTAAACGTAGTTGATTCAGCCTCCATGGACGCATCAGCTGCCGTGTCAGTGAGCTTCACAACACTCAAAGCCGTCGCAGAGACCAAACAGTATGCATGGGCGGGCAACGACATGTCTCGTATCGATCATGCTCTCGTTGACGTCCACGTCGATATCGACCACGTTCGATCCCTGCAGTTACGACGAAAACTACAGGACAACCACAGAAGAGAGGAAATTCTACGCTTCTGTCGCCCGTAAGTTCGTCGTGAAATGCAGTAAGATCCTCCTAGAGCGAATCAAGAAGATCCCATCGGGAGCGGGGAGGATCCCCGATTTAGTGCTGCCGGCCACCTGCATCACTTACAAGGCCTGCAC